CAAATAGATGAATCTTTCATTTGTTAATGAAGTACTGGCACAAAAATATCCCAGTCTTCTTAGAAAGCTAATCCAAGTACCCAAGAACTCTAATTAGCAGGACATTTTTGCTTTGGGTTTAATCTAAATCCTTCTTGGTATTTTTCAAATCTAATTCCTCTTCATTCATTTTTGGATAAGTTGAGAAGCTTTCACCAAGCTATTCAGATTCACCAAGCTATTCTGTTGGTAAGAGTCCTACCTCCCAGTCTAGGACAGAAGCCTGCCACTGGGCAATCTTGTCAATATTCTCCAAACGTCGCTTGCGTTCGTTGATCTGCTGAGTCACATTTCTCATGACAGCCAAAGCAGCTGCCACATATCTGTAGTCACTGTGAACACAAGAATGCAAGTTGAGTGAACTAATGTGCCAATCGTGACATCTCCTAAGTGCCAATCCTGACATCTACTCTCCTCTTCCTCCTCAGCAACAGAGTCCTGATATTTCAGACAGGAACCCATGCCACCTAGAGTAAAATACTACATTTCCTATCCTTTGTTTCAGCGGGATAACTATGTGACTAAGTTCTGTCCAATGACACATAAATGGAAGTGTTGGGTAAGACTTCTGAGAAATCTTCTTTAAGAAAGAGAGCACACTCTTCTTTAGCCCTTACTCAATCCTGATGCTTGGAACGTGAATGTGATGGCTAAAGTTCTAGCCATCTTGGACTATAAAGGCAAGGTCCATACTCTAGGATTAGGATAGCAGAATGCTGTAAGGAGTTCATGTTTCTGATGACCATGAAGCCTCTATACCAGCCATACATAGACATCCTATCTACAGACTAATTTCACATGAGAGCAGAATAGATCCCTATTGTTCACATCACTATTTTTATGTCTTATCTGATACAACTAGCCAAGGTCTAAAAAGAAAGTCTCTCACAAGGTACAGTCAAGACAACCTTACCATGTCTTCCATCATCTATTTCTAGGGAGCTTCTGACCCAAATCACTATGAAATAACATCCTCACCTTTCCTCCTGTACAATATAAAGATAGTATATAGCATAGTGGTTAAGCCAGACTCCGTGGGCTCAAATCCCAGTTTTGTCACTGACTAGCAGTGTGGCCTTCGGCAAATCTCACTCACTTTCTCATTGACTCAGTTTCCTTACCTGTAAAATGGGGAAATTATGATTTATTGAAGGTTTAATAAATTAAATACAATCATCCATGCTAAACTGTTTTACTAATGGCCAATAATAAATGTTAATAAATATATAATTTAGTTTATACTAAATTAATTTAGTATAAAATAAATTTATTTATTTAAATATTTTTATTGCAAATCAAACATTTCTCTAGTGAACATATCAAACAGAATGCCTCCTAAAAGCCTTAGTCCCGAGTTGTAATCCTTGGTCTCACTTCCTGGAACTTTGGATAGCCCGTGTTTTCCCTGCTTGTCTGTTCTGATTTCCAATCAAATGACTTCTGTGAAAGGCTAATTGAAAGTGAGATCTCAGCCATTCAGCGGAGCTAAAATAAATGGAGAAGACAAATGGGTACATTACTATCAGTGCTGACACCTTTCCCCAGAGAAGCTGAAAATGTCTTGTAGTCACTAATCTCCTCAATCTCCTAGCACCAATTATGAAAAAAAGGGAAAAAAGAAGATGTGCAACAACTGCCTTTTTCTTTCTTAATACACCGAAGAGTGGGATAGTAGACCAAACAATGGCACAGAGTTCTTACTTCCAGGGCAAATGCTATCCAGTATCTTCTCTTAGCTGGTATCCATTGCTTCATTCTGTGCTATGCATGCTTATAAAAACCATGACTCTCAAACAGTATTGCATTTATCAACTACAGTGACGGGCTTCTCATTATGCCTCTTAACCAGTCTATGTTGTTTCAATACAAATCTGATAGAAAAGTCTTTATTCTGAGCCTTAATTAATGTTAGCTATTATCAGTTTTTCTACTGGATCCCTTTGCTGACTCATATTAAGCTTACAGATAACAAACACTTAAGTCTCTTTAAAACATGCAGTCTAGAAGCTATACCTCTCTTAGCCTGTCCTTGAGCTATTGATTTCTCATCTTAGACCCAATTGCAAAACTTTACATTTGTAATTGTTACATCTCATCCTTTTACAGTTAGTTGTTCCAGTTTACAGGAAATCCTTTGAGCTCTGCAATATCACCAAAGTTTCTCCCTAGCAAGATTGTCTGAGCCTGCCTTTTAGAAGCAGGTAGGCTGTTGACAGATGGGTGGCAGTAGCACAGAAGCTACTAACACAGATAAGTACTCTTGATCTTTGGACCCATTTTCTGTCTCCTTTCTCTTTCTTTGATTTGAAGGCATCAGTTCTTTAGGCCACTTTTTGAGAAGTAAACATAAAGCTGCACAGTTTAACATGTTAGCCACTAGCTACACTGAATTAAAATGAAATAAAACTGAAAGTTTAGTTCTTCAGTTGCATCAGCTGTTTCTCAGTACTCAATAGTCACATGTGGTCAGGTACTACTGTATTGGACAGTGTAGATATAGAACATTCATATCACTGCAGAAAGTTCTACTGGACAGTGCTGGCATGAGAATGTTCATTTCCTCTGCCTGATCCCAAGTACTACCCAGCCATGGATTCATGACTACCACGACCTCATACTGTTTATTTATTTATTTATTTATTTTATTTTATTTTATTTTTTTGAGTTGGAGTCTCACTCTGTCACCCAGACTGGAGTGCAGTGGCCGCTCCCAGCCACCGCAGCCTCGACCTGCTGGGCTCTGGAGATCCTTCTGCCTCAGCCTTCCAAGTAGCCGGAATTACAGGCACGCGCTACCACACCCGGCTAATTTTTTGATTTTATTGTAGAGATGAGGTCTAACCTGCCCAGGCAGGTCTCGAACCCGTGGGCTCAGGCAATCCACTCACCTCAGCCTCCCAAAGGTGCGAGATTACAGGCTGAGCCACCGAGCCCGGCTCCATACTGTTTATTTTTACCATTTTTAGCTGGCTGCATTTCTCACAATGGCCAGAGTGGGAATGTGCCCATCTCTAACCTAGCTTTAGACTAGTTTGAGAGGTAGGTGAGGAAAGAAGAGAATAGCTTTGGTCCAGCCTAAACCCTGGTCAGAGCCCCCTGGGCCCTCAGACCAAGTCTAAGCCCAGTCCCCTATTGAGGAGAGCAACAGAACCAAGATTTTCTACTTCCAGTCATGTCAAATAACCTTCTTCTTGTATGTATGCATCATTCTTGTCAGCTTAAGAAAGGTGAAGTGGGGAAAGTATGCCACCCTTTTGTAAGCAAAGGTAGTATTATTCTTCATTTATCACTTCCCACCTCACCTTCTCCCTCAGAAGCAACTCTGTCTGCCTGCAATTCAGGCCCCTCCTATCTAAATACCTATCTGACTAAGCCTCCAAGCTAGCAGCAGGCTCTAAATGCCTTCAAATTCAAGCTACTCTTGACATGCATGGCAGGAGCTGTCATCTTAATACAGTTTCCCGAGACCTTCCAAAAGGGGTTATCCATATCCTGGGGGTAGCACTGTACCAACAGGTCACTCTGGAGAAAGAGAGGAATTGATGTAGCTTGCCACTGCCCAAGATACTCTGTTAGCACTCTGAAGTTCAGAGGGTGGGAGGGGGGATAAGGGACAAAGAGGGCAAAAGGGCTCTGAAGCAGAAGTTCTAGTCACAAGATGAAAGTGCACAGGAATAGCAAATCCCAGGCAAATGTTTTATCTTGCTGGCTCCCATCAAACCCAACAAAATCCTGGGATTGTGATTGCTTTGACCTAAGAAACCAACATAGATTTGGTTTTTGCTTGAATTTTTTTTCTGGTGCTCTTAAGATAAATTATACAATATATAATTTACTTAGTAAATATTATCAGTCCATTTTTCAGAATTTTAGAGCCGCCTATTTATTTCTCCATGGAACAAATATACAGGAAGTAGGTAGGCAAGGAGCTGTGACATGAAAACATTTGGGAACCACTCTTTTGATATCCAGGTTTTAAAACCATTGTTCTGAAGGTTGTTCCACTGAGATATAGGTACAATAGTCACTGCTTCTGGCCAGTTAACACCATGCAGTAAAACTGTGAGGACCATTTATGCTTACAACACTATGGGCTGGCAAAACTTGAAGAGGCCTTCCAGACAGGCTGGTGCAATGGTTGACAAATCTTTCTGGGCACAAAAATTACCTAGAGTTCTTTAAAAAGTTAGACTTCCAGACCACCGTACATGTTCTGTGTCCCTGATTTGCTACAGATTGGATCTGTGTCATTTTTCCATTCTGAGCCTCACTCTTTCCAGCCACGGAATGAGGAAATATGACTAGAAGGAAAGGTCTTTCTAAAATTCTAGGCACTATACATATTTTCTACTTTTCATTTTCAAATATTTTAATGTTAGTGGAGGTTCTTCGATGTCCTACTAGACCTCACAAGAAAACATATCCTTAGAAAACCTGAATCTGAGTTCTGGCAAAGAGCTATATTAAGTCTGTTCGAGTGAAACTTAGTCACCTCCAAATTTCATGTTTAATAACCCCCCCACACACACCGCCTACCGTAAACTGCCTCAGGTAGGAGAGAGCAGAGTCCTCTTTTTCAAGGTCTTTCTACAACTGCCTCCCTCACAGTAATCAGGGCACAGAAGGCAAAGCTATCACTGGTACTGGCCTTGTTACACAAAAGCAGGGTCTAGTATCATCACATTCGGGTTAAAGTCTGAAATATGCCTAGTGTTCCAGACCCACTGGAGCACATGACCCATAATTTGCTAAAAAGCAACATCAATTTAAAAATGAACCCAGAGATTGGCCTAGATGTTTAACATAAACCAAACTAACTGGCTCATACTCATGGCCTAATCCATCTAGGTCTGGAAGTCAGCCCCAAGGAAACCAGGCAGCAATAGAGCTAAATGAAAATAGTAAGAGAGCCTAATATGAGTCAGGGAGAAAGCTAAGGAAAACTGGGCAAAGGGCTTTGGTTTTAGAGTGCTCTTTTTTAGAGCTGGAAGCTGGGCTAAGAAGTCTAATATCAGGGATTTAACACCAATTAAAGTCAGGGTATAAACAAGCTGCGGCTTTAGGTCATGAGGTCAGGAATGTAAAAGTGTGGGGATGGTTCAATATAGGCTGTTCCCATTGTAGGAGATTACTCCCAGCATGTATCTTATTAGTAGGAGTTGAGTATCATTTCTATTCAGAGAGAGAGATAAACTCCTTGATTTTTGTTGAGTTGGTTTTCTTGAAAATAATTTAAAATTTTGAATAAACATCAGGGGACATCTCAAGTCTATTTCTCTCAGCCATACTATGGGTCCAAGGGAAAAATACAGTTGGAGTCGGGCAGAGGAGGGTGAAAAGATACAAGTTGGGCAAGCTGTTATTAGAAAACTTGAGTTTATCAAGTAGAGTGAAATATACAGTTGAGCAATTTTTGCATCATGGTTGATTTGCTTGGTTGAGCTCAAGACTAAGGACTAAGATACAAGCTCCTTGAAGGTAGGACCTAAGTTGTATGAGAATGATGATTGACTTTGTGTGCATACAAGTTTATAACTTTATAAGCAACTCTCAAAAGCATTCCCTCTTATGAGGTAAACAAAAACGTATCATCCTGTTTTGCAAATAAGCTAAAAAGAAGCTCAAAAAAGGCAAAAGAACATACATTTTCAATGAGGACCAACATGTAGAGGAGAGTCCTTCCCTCACTCTTTCCTCCTTCAGTCCTTTACCTGTGGTCTTGGGCAGTATACTTGAGGAGCTCAGCCAACTGTAAGGGATACTTGCAGATCTTCTGCACTGGAGTCAAAAGGAAACCATCAATAGCAATGTCAATCATCTGCTGCAAGAGGCGACAGGCCTCAAAGAAGTGCTGGTAGCGGCTGTCCTTCATCAGTTTGGAGAGTTCCATGCAGGCGTCCAGGTGGTTATTACAATACTCAGAGTATATCCAGAATCCATCTTGCTGTTGGCAGAGAAAAAAAGGAAAGAGAAAGGCTACTGAGTATTCCAAAAGAAACCTTGAAGCAATGGAAGGATAGACTTTGTTCTTATGAGGAGATATTAAAATGACAACAATGTCAATTATTCTTAAGCTGACTTATAATACAGTTTGTCTAGTTATCACATAAATAATTTTGATATTTTATCACTGTGTTATTGAATCAGTTAAGCTAATTTACACAATAACTAGAAAAACTGATTATAAAGTTTTTTATTTAAAAACAACTACACAGCAACAGTTGGGAAATTCTGAAAAAGAAGGGTAATGAGGGGATCCTACCCCTAACAATAGTAAAACACATCATGACAATAAAACTCTGGGACTGAGTCATAAAAGGAGATAGAGCAGAAAGTTTATGTCTGACAATGGCAGACTAAGTTGTAAAATAGCTAGAAAAGATGAAAAAATATAATAAATATCTGCATCATATCTGAAGGAATATCTGAAGGAATACATCATCCAGAGTCTCAAATTATCTCCATAATATATCCCTAAGGAAACATACCATGAAGTATTTGGAAGTAAGGAGGCCAAGATGTATTCAAACTAAACCCTAATGGCTGAGCAAAAAAGATAAATGAATGTGTGTTGTATGTATATGTAAGTATGCATATAGAAAGAACGGAAAAGGAGAGAGGAGAGAGAAGAGCACTCTCAAATGATAAAAGTGGTGAAATGTTAACAACAGGTGAATCTGGATATTCTTTGTGCTGTTTTTATTTTTCACTCTTTCTGTAAATCTAAATTTATTTCCACGTGAAGTTTTTGAAAATCTCTACAATTTTGTTATACGTGATCAGGATTCAATAAAAATATCCTGATACATGAGAATAAAAAACACAAACAAAACCCAATAGAAATAACTGGCAACAGAAATTAACCAACGACAAAAAAAAATCAAGATGAAGTTATTACACATGGAGTTTAAAAAAAAAACCCAAAATATCACATAAAAAGAATAATACACCATGATTAGGAGGAATTTATCCCACTGCAATTCATGTTAAGAGGTTAAAGGAGCCGGGCTCGGGGGCTCAGCCTGTAATCCCGTGCCTTTGGGAAGCTGAGGTGAGTGGATTGCCTGAGCCCGCGGGTTCGAGACCCGCCTGGGCAGCGAGACCTCATCTCTACAATAAATCAAAAAATCAGCTGGGCGTGGTAGCGCATGCCTGTAACTCCGATTACTCAGAAGGCTGAGGCAGAAGGATCGCCGGAGCCCAGCAGGTGAGGCTGCGGTGGCCGGGAGCGGCTGCTGCACTCCAGTCTGGGCGACCGAGTGAGACTCCAACTCAAAAAAAAAAAAAAAAAAAAGAGGTTAAAGAAGAAAAATTATATGACCCATTTCAATACTACAAAATAAGCATTTGAGAAACACATTTATGATGACATCATCAGCAAACTAGGAATAGAAAGAAACTACCCCAAACTAATAAAGGTCACCCATGAAAAACCTAAAGCCAATGTCATTCTAATTGGTAAAATATTGAATGTCTGTTCCTAAGGTCAGGAACAAGACAAAGATGTCTGCTTTAATCATTTCTAGTTAATTGGATATCCTGAAATAGACAACATATAGACTGAAAAAGAAGCAAAACTGTCTTTATTCAGTTCAGAGATGACATAATTGTATATGCATAAAATTCTAAGAAATCCACAAAAAATACTAAAACCAATTAGTTCAACAATGTGTCAAGATACAAAGTATAAAAATCAACTATATTTTTATATGAGAGCATCAAATTATAGACTATGAAATTTAAAAATACCATTTACAATAGAATAAAAAAATTAAATACTTAGAAATCAATTTTTAGATAAAGGATGTCAGCAAGATGGGAGAGTAGGAAATACCAGCCTTCCTTTCTTCAACAAAGAGCAACAATTAAGCAGCTATCAATAAACAAAAATAATTCTGGAAGAGCTCAGGAATCCACTTTAGAAGCTTCAGCAATAATAGTAGCATAAAATTCCAAGAATAACCACATAAAAAGGGTAGAAAGAACTGTTTCATTTTGCCTGCATCGCACCATCCTTCAAGCCAGTACTTCTCAGCACGAAGATGAAACTTTCTGGTTCATGGGGAATAAAAAAAAAGAGTGGAGTGTACAACCAGCTTTCCTAGCTTTTTGGGATACTGCTTGAATGAACAGCTTCAGCTTCACCCCACCCAGAACTCTGCGAGGACTAGTATAGCTTACATGTCTGGAGACAACAGAGAACAAATAATGACAGGCTCTTTTAGTATCAGCCAAGCAACAGGAGTCACTGTGACCCCCAGTGGCCTACTTGGCACAGGAACCCAGTAGACCTCTGTCAAGAACTTCAAAAGTCCTCATGGCCAATAGGCACCCCATGCAGATTTCACCACCAAGGACTCCTCAGTGTTCATAGTTACAGACCTCAGCAGTTTGTTCTGCAGAGGACTCTAGCAGTTTTTGCTGCTGAGAAAATCAACTGCTAGCATATAAGTAGCAGATCTTCTGCAGCCTACACTACTGAGGGCTTGCAGTTTTCAGTTGTTTTTTTCCTTTCACAGTCTTCACGTGCCTGAGTCATGCCCCCTCTCCTTTCTTGCTTTTTGAAGCTACCAAGATTTGTTCAATTGCTGGTGTGGTTGCCGCAACCCAGGTGGATGGGGTGATGCAGGCCATCAGCCTTCATTCTCCATATCCCTCATCCAATAGGCCTCTCCCTTCCCATGCCTAGAGCTGCCCAAGCTACTCCTACCACAGGCACCCTGGACCAGGGACCCAGTCTAGCAGCCTTTGCAGTCCACCACCCCTCCTTCCTGGAGCTATCTCAGTGGTTGCCTCCTTGGATGCTCTGGCCCATTGACCCAGTACAGCTACCACGCACATCCCTACAAACAGCCTAAGGGCCCCAAACTGCAGGCTCGAGTCCCACTACCATGTGCAACCAAGGAAGATCCATAAAAATGGGTGATCACACACTGCCAGACATGGCCCCCACAGCTGTGGATACATAAGCAGCTAGTCATAACCCCTAGTGCTTGCCCCCATCACCATGCTTGAACCCATAGCTGGTATCTGTAGCTATGAACATATGAACACCTCCAGCTCAGACCCGCAGTTGCCACGCAAAAACAAACAATCTGACTAACCCCTGTAACTCACTTGAAGCTAGCCTCTGTAATCATGCACATACAGACTAGCCAACGTCCATTACCACTTGTATACCCACAGTTGGCCCTATCCATGGCTAATGACCCCACCCCTGGCCATTCTGCATAAGCCTGCCTTTGGCCACTGCTGCCATGCACGTACCTGAAGCTGGTCTTCCAGTAAAGTCTGTGAACACCACTGGCTCTGGTCTCCACCACTGCTGGTCCTGATATCTAGCCATTGGACTCAGAGGTAGAGCTGAGGATCATAACAGCTCTGAAAACCACTATGAAAACTTCCACAGCTCTTGCTACCAAGGATCATGCAGTTGCCAACATTGTGGACCCTGACGGCCTAAGCTAACAAGACATAGTGGCCCACCAAACATGAGACCCACACATGCTCCTACACATAGTGTCCCTAAACACCCTCTTCTCCCACAGATTAAGGGCTTTCCTTATCTAAACCAGTCTAAAAAATCTAGAAGAGTGATTGCTTCTTAAAATGCACAGTCGCCTTTGCAGGATCAGGAAGAAATAGGGAAACATAACACTACAAAGGAACACAATAAACATCCAGTAACTGACCCCAAAGAATTGGAATAATTGGCTGACAAAATATTCAAAATAAACGTTTTAAAGAAGTTAGATAAATTTTAAATGAACATGATTAAACAATATTTAAAAAATCAAAAGAACAGTACAAGGACAAAATAAAAAGTTAAACAAAGAGATATAAAACACTAAAAGGGACAAGACAGATTTTTTTTTTTTTGAATCAGGGACTCACACTGTTGCCAGGCTGGAGTGCAGTAGCAGAATCACAACTCACCACAGCCTCGACCTCCTGAGCTCAGGTGATCCTTCTGCCTCAGCCTCCCAAGGAGTCAGGACTACAGGTGCACACCACCATGCCCAGCTAATTTTTAAATATTATATAGACATGAGGTCTTGCTATGTTCCCCAGGCTGGTCTCGAACTCCTGGGCTCAACTAATCCATATGCCCTGGTCTCCCAAAGTGCTGGGATTATAGGCATGAGCCACCTTGCCTGAATCAGACAAAAATTTTGAAGCTGAAAAATAAAATGTTTGAACTAAAAATTATAAAGAGATTTTAAACAGCAGACTAGATTAAGTAGAAAAATAAGTAAACTCAAAGATAGATCATTTAAAGTTACCCAGTCAAAAGAGAAAAAAAGAAAAATAATAATAAAAAGGAATTTAAAAAATTCTATATAATCTATTAGTACACAATCTAGAGAGCTAACACAAAATTAGAAGCTCCTGAAGAAGAATAGATAGTAAAGGAGATAGAGGGAAAAAAGCTTATTTTAAAATATCATTATAATTTTCGAATCTGAAAAAAGACACAAATACCCAGGCTCAAAATGCTCAGAGAGCCTGTCAAATTCAACCCAAGGAAGAGTTCACCAAGATACATTATAATCAAACTATTAAAAATCAAAGACAAAGGAAAAAAAAAAGAATTCTAAAAGCAGTGAAGGAAAGGAAGAATATCACATAAAAGGAAATCCTAATAAGGTTATAAACAGATTTTTTTTTCAGTCAAAGCTTTAAAGGCTAGGAGAGAAAGAAATGATATATTCAATAGGCTGAAAGAAAAATACTCTAAAGGCCTAAGATCTAGGATCTACAGAGAACTCAAATGTGACAAAAGGAAAAAAAACAAACAGCCCCATTAAAAAGTGGGCAAAAGACGTGAATAGACACGTCTCCAAAGAAGACATATAAACAGTCAATAGACACATGAAAAAATGCTCTGATGATTAGCCTCGCTAATCATCAGAGAAATGCAAGTCAAAACCACACTGAGATACCACTTAGCCCCAG